CATCACAACACCCCTGTGATAGCTCTGTAGGTTTTATCATCCCTGGGTGAGAAAATGGAGGCACGAGAGATTAAATACCGTTCCCAAGATCACACAAGAAGTCACTGGGACTAGAACGCAGGAACCTGGGGCCCAAGCCCAATCACTAGCTAATACTCCCAAATGCAACGTGTTGCCATAGACGCCTGTAAAGGGTTTACACTGCACCCCACCTACTGTTTAATTCACTGGCAAGGTTTCTGTAAACCCAGCAAAGTTCAGTGCTAAAGAATCACAAGCCAGATCTTCAGCTGGTGGAAGTCAACATGTGAAGCCAATGGCGCTGTGATGATTTACACCAACTGAGGATGTGGTCCCACACAGGGGCCTAAAACCAATGGGAGACGAGCCAGGAGAAGTGGCATAAAAGTAGTTGCAAGAGTGGAGATCTTTTAAATTAAAGCTCCATAGAATGCAATGGTGCTTTTGCCATCTGCTTTTGTTTGCTCCCTGCTTCTTTTAATACTACATGACAGACGTTCATTAAAATGTCACACCTTTTTATGGAATAATATTTCCCCCCCCGCCCCCCGAAAATCATTCAGGTTGTTGACTAAAATGCGAGCAAACAGAATATCGCAGCAAGCAGAGCATACTGGGGACCAGCTGAATTCATGCCAATAGCTTCCAAAATATAAAACTTCAAACTAGGCAGAATTCAGCTTCTCTGCAAAAGAGATGAGACTTTGGAGTCAGGGGGGATAAACATTTATGAGCAAATGGATCTCCTGTAGTGGGACGATAACGGAACGAATTAGCTAGTGGTTCTTCTACTTCAACTGCCATCAGAGACAAACGATCAGGACCATGGAGATAGAACACGACCCCAGGATCAAGGTCCCCTGCTTTGAAAATAAATGTCCTGGCTTCTCTCTCTCTCTCAGGGTTTTTCTGTAGTGCCCATCGGCATAGTATATGAGTGCTGAGCTGATAGATTTGATCTCCAGGCCAATGCCTAGTGGACTTCATAGGGGGCCACACGGAAACCCTTGGGTGCCGGGTATAAGGACTGCCGCTGTATGTGCCCCAGGGGCCAAATTGTCCCCAAAGGGGGCGGGGTGCCTGGGGAGAGCAGGCTAAACGATTCTAAAGGTTTATCTTCCTAAGCGCCGTACGCCCTGCTCAATGCAGATGAAATGGCACAGTTTGGCCCACAGCATTTTGCTCATTGTCCTTCCCAGGAACTAGGAAGGCCTGCTTGTTTGTTGTCTTCATTTTCTTCAGCCTTCATTATTTCCCACAAGTGTCCTAGCCTGAGCACCTCCACCGGGACCCCGTCTCTGCCACGGCATTTGCTCCGCTGGCACTGTGCTGCCCCTTCTTGCACGGAGAGCATCCGCCTCCATTCAAACCGAGGAGCCCCTCCCAAGCAGTAGCTGCCTACAGCTCAGCACAGCACTACACACACACGTGGATCGCAGTACCGAGTATCTACAAGTCAATACAGCACTTTGCATGTGCGCGCGTACACACACACACACACACACACACACACACATCACTTTGAATGTACACACACACGGATTGCAGTACTATCTACAAGTCAACACACCACTTTGAATGCATGCACACACACACACACACATCACTTTGAATGTACACACACATGTATTGCAGTACTATCTACAAGTCAATACAGCACTTTGAATGTACACACACACACACACACACACACACACACACACCTGGATTGTACACACACACATCACTTTGAATGTACACACACATGGATTGCAGTACTATCTACAAGTCAACACAGCACTTTGAATATACACACACACACCTTGATTGTACACACACACACACCTTGATTGTACACACACACACGGATTGCAGTATTATCTACAAGTCAATACAGCACTTTGAATGTGTACACACCCACACACGCGTGCACCTCCACCCCCCAGACCTTTTTTACCAGAAGTCCTGACCTCCACAAAAGGATAACAAATCGCTTGGAGATGAGGTGTCATTATTTTGAATTTAAAAATACACAATGTTGTGGCCTCTTCTGACCATTTCCCGCCTCACCAGTTAACATGACCGGTACATTTCAGTAAACAGGAAATGTTTTCCACACATCACATTTTCACTCCCGTTGACTTGAACGAAGAGGTCAGAAAACGAGTCCTCCACTTGTCTCCATGTGAGCTGTTGCTGGGTGGGTGGCTGACATGCTCTCAAGAATGGAGTGTGACCCGTTGCTATGAATAGGCGAGAAGACATGGGAAAGGATGGGTTAGAGCTAGAGGCCGTTGCTGGAGCTGATAACTGGGCCTGGATCAGATCTTTCCCAAAACTCAGGGGGGTTGAGTTTGGTGACCTGGGGATCTTGGGACATGAGATTGCTCAGCATTTCACATGAGTGCTCAGCACCTTGCAGAACTGAACTCACGACTGCACTTTATAGAGCATTAGATCGACTCTGGATCTGAACTTCCCAGTGTGCGGGGGCTCCAATCTGAGGTTCTGCTGTCCTCCTAGCTCTGGGTAGTTAGAGTTCTGTATTGCTTTCAGTGTCTAATGCATCTGCCTTAGCCTGATCCAAAGGCCACGCAGATCAATGGAAGCCATTCCATGGATTTCAGGGGACTTTGGAAAAGGCCCTAAATGCACTATTCAATACAACAGGCACTACCCAATAGGCACCCAGATACCATGGTGATGGGCGACAAAGAAATGCTTCTGAAAACAGTGCTAATAATAATAATGAATTGTACACAATTTGAAATTATATATTGTTAAAAATATCAAATTAAAATGATGGTAGGAAAAATAACAATGGAAAGGCTCCCACTAAGGAAAATAAGTAAATACGGGAAATAAATATTCAGTTGATTCAGCTAAGGTTAAGTTCCTGCTTAAGTGCTTTGCTGAATCGGGATGGGATCACTTGTGTGCTTAAAGTTAAGCACATGCTAAAGTGTTTTGCTATCTCAAGACTTTAAAACACTTAAGTTTGCACATAACTTTAGACGTGTGGCGTTGCTGTGATTTCACAGGAGTAAATGCTGTGCTGAATGGGGAGGTCCAGACATGCTTAAGTGTGTAACTGAGTCAGGGTGTGAATAAAGATCTCACATTTCAAAATGTGATTTCTTTTAATCCAAATTGTGAATTTCAATATTTTTAAAAAGGGAAAAATACTTGAATTTCTATCCCACCCCCTTCCCCAATCTTTGACCGGCTACAACTGGTTGAACTTTGAATTGTGGGGAATTTTGAAATCCTCACAAAATGTTGATGAAAATATTGGTGGGTTGGCCTGGAGACTATATTCCCATGTTCTGATGGGCTGTAATATTATACATCCCAAAATTTTCTTCTTCTGTTTCCCAATGAATGTAGTACGGATGCTAAGAGCCAGATGGCAATCTCTAGATAAATACTAAGGGAGGATGGATGACCCGTTAGGTTCAGTTCCCAGCTTGACTATAGACTTCCTGTGTGATCTGGGACAAGTCCCTTATTCTACCCTGTAGCTTAGTTCCCCATCTGTAAAATGGAAGTAACACATCTCTACCTCGCGAGGGGTATTGTGAGAATTACAAAAACGATCCCTTAATGATTATGATGTATAATTCCATACTTAGATATGAATAGATACAGTAATTAATAATAGATATAATTAGATATTAATCCAAATCCAGGCACAGCATAGGCTGTGCAAGCTTCTCCCACCAGTGTGCCTTGAACTGAACCTAGAGAGCCATGTGAGAGCATTGGCTTCCAGCAAGCCACCGGCTGGGGACATGCATGCCTCCCCCTTGGGAACTTGACTGAGCTTCATTTTGTGTAGGCTGCCGGACAGCCAGCGGATGCTACTGGCTTTCAGTCACTGCTGCCTTGGGATGAGTTCCAACCGATGAAGCAAATAGGAAAGGCTCATTGTCTTCTGCCCGACGCAGTTGTAGCTTGGCCAGGGTTTTCTGGCTCACCAGGTGTTGGGGGTTGGGTAGGTTTTCTTCATCCATCAGCCACTTGAGAGCCCGTGTGTTTAAATATCTCCAGTATATAACCAGATTCAGTGCGGGGGGAGCGAAAGGGATGCTATGTTCCGGGAGGGGTTTAACACTTCTAGAAAGAGTCCCACTTGCTCTTGGCTGAGTGCAGCCAGAACGTCCCTGGAAAGCATTGGGGTGTGCTCCGGGATGGAGAGTGGGGGGGGGTCAGTTCCACTCGGCTGCCCAGTTCTCCCCCCCCAGCGCCAATCCCAAAGCCGTGTGGCAGGGGACCTTGGTTTTTAGGCTGCAGCTCTGGGTTTAACACAGAGCCGGAGGGGCAGCCAGGTTCATTGCTAAAAGCTAAGACGTGCCAGTGTCTCTGAAAAGCTCCCCCCATCCATCTGCCCGGTCTAGGGGTGACCCTCAGAGGAGCTTGGGGAGCCCCAGAGAGGGGCTCTCACTGCAGCCACTTGGGGCTGTCCATGTTCTGTCAGTCTGTGGGTCCCAGCACCATACTGCTTGGAAGTGGCCTGGAGACACTCTTAGCCCCCCCCTTTCGCTGTGACTGGGGTGTCACGGGGGAGCCCACAAGGGCTGCTGGGGCTGCCTTGTCCCGAGGCCCTCTCCCTCTCTCGGCCTGCTGTGAGCTGTCCGTTGTGTTTGTTCTGCTCTCTGAGCTCGTTATCAGTGAGCAACACACACAGGAAGTCCTGTCTGGGATTGTCCATTCCAATCCTGATTTATACAGGAAGAAAACCATAAAAAGCCTCCCTTCCACCTCTAAAGGGACCTCCTGCCTGCCTGCAGCACCAGTGACCAGCCACGCTGGGGAAGCACAGGAGAGGAGCAGATGCAGCCCAGCTGGGGAGGAGAGGCCTTGGCCATGCAGCAGCGGCAAACAGCAGAGGAGGTGGCGGCTGGGTTGTGGAGAGTTGCTTGGAGCAGGAGAAGGTGGCCCATTTCCCATGGCCGCTGCAGAGGGACGCAGAGAGGAGGAGAGGACGTAGCAGGTACCGTATGCCAGAATGGGCGTAGTGCCCAAGGGCTGCAGGGTGCTGGGGATGGGTAGGAAAGCCAGCATATGAGGGTTAAAAGAGATGCCAATCAGAGCCTACATTATCCCAGTAGCAACAGGCCAGTTCCTGAGGTCTCTATCCAGTGGCTTCAGTAGGACTTTGAACATCAGAGAAAGTGACTAAGAACCTCAGGGTCTGGCTCAATAAAGAACAATAAAAAATTATTCTTACAGCAAAGAGGTTTTTTTTGAAGCAACTATTGGCTTCTTCCGAGAAGAGCAGAGTGCGCTCACGTAGGGCCAACTCTGCTCTCCGTTACACTGGGGCAAATCCAGAGGAATTCCTTTGTCTTCAGTATTTCTGAGGGCAGAATCCAGCCCTTTGGGCAAATTTTTAATTTCACTTCACCGCCACTCAAGCTGTTTGTCTTGAAAAGAAGAGCGATGGAGGTCAAATATAAGACGTTTAATTTACATACTGTCCATGTACAGGTCAAAGCCTGGGGTTTAAGGCTGTGGGAACAAACAGACACAGTGGCAAGAACTATATAGATAGTGCTCATTTGTTTCCATAAAGTTACTTTCTTTTGCTTTTCCCCAAACCCCATATTGGTACAATGATTAAGAGGGCTATAGGTATTGTGTATGATACATGCATGTTGGTCCATAGCTATACAGTGCAAATATGCACCACTCTCTCCTCCCTTCACCCCCCATGTGACAATGATTCAAAGAGCTCTAATGCAAAGCTTATTACTAATCAGATCCAGTTGTTTTCGATTGCCAATACTAAAAAAGTCATTAGGCAAAATACAGCGCTGAATGATCCCCAGGGGCTGGGAAGATCCCAGAAATCTCAAATAGGGGCAGCATATCCTGGATATTTAGTGTGCTTCTATTTGCTGAGAATTATCTGATTCTGGCGAGCAAGAAGTCAAAGATCATCTGAAGTTACAGCTGTGTAGCTGGGTGATTTGCATCCTGCGGAGTTCTGTGTGTTGCTAAAGAGCTGTCTCATTTCACCCCAGAGGCTGCATTTCAGGGGTAGGTGATGTTATATCTCTACAGTGTGTGGATAGCCATATACCGCCCTCGATCCATGGCAGAACACAATGTGGGTGGGCGGGCGGGCGGGCGGTCTGTGGTTTGGGGATAATATTTGTCCTTAGTTCGGAGGGTACTTTGGGTGTCAGTTACTGTAATACCCAAAATGAGGCTGGCACTGGAGATAGAGGATATACAGAAGTATAATGCTAGGGAACGCTTTCTCCTTGGGCATTTTTTTCTGAGGGAAAAGACGATTTTGCGTATTTCTCTGCGGGGTGCAGCCATGGTAGTCTGATGAATGAACTAAGCAAAGAATAAAAGAACAAGGAATTGTAGGTGATGAGCTGATGGGCAAGCTTCTGACACTCTCTTCATCGGCCATGGGAAGCTGACTGCATGAGTCAGCAACACAGATATAGTGGCTGGACTCGGACCCTGTCCCCCATCATTAAATCTGGATCTACTGTGGATTACAGCGGAATTAGCAGTGGGGTAAGAAAACACTGACTGGACCTAGAGTGTGTATTTGTTTGACTTTTTAGACATTATTCCCTGTGATCCACAGTCTAATTCTGGGATCTCAATTTGCACCCCTCAATAATATCTGAGGCTCAACTCCAGTGGGTTCTCCCCAGCTAATGAAGAGAAATTGACTCTCAGAAGCTTGCTCATTTTGACATATTTCTTTATAATATAGAGTCTGTGGAGGGGCAGTAGATTTACAAATTGCAGCAAAATAAATCTAAGTCTCAATCAATATACACGGGCGATGGGACAGTAAGTCAATTCGGAGCATAAGGGGGCAGATTTAATGTGTGCCTTCAAAATAGACACAAAAGAACAAAAAAAGGGAATGCGGGGAGGGGAGAGAACAGATGGCAGAAAAAACAAACTGAAGAAATTAAAATGTTCCCATATTCAATCTCTCTCTGCCTTCCTCTCCCACTACAATACCCGCCCTACAATGCGGGGAATTCCTGTATGCCTACCTGATCTGCTTCTTGGAAAGCCGATAAGCTAGGAAAGCTCTACTTTGGTCCATTTAGTGCGTGCTTATGTGCAATCACTTTTGAACCAGAAACGGCCTCTTAGAATCAAAGGCTCATAAGAACAAAATGATCTATTTTAAAACGATTTCTTCTTGAAGCAACTATTTGTTGGCAGAGGCGTGATTTAAGGACCAATTTAATCCATGCATGCAACTCAGATCGATTCCCGCAATGGATTGAGGGCAGTATATTTCCTTAGGGAGTGATTTTGCTGGGTGAATGTACAGGAAAAAACATGGGGGCTGATTTCTCTCCTGACTTACACCAATTTTACACTAGTGTAATTCCACTGAAGTTAATGGAGTGACTCTTGATTGATCCAGGTGCAAAAGAGATCCATGTTTTGTAAGTGTCTCTCTCTTGACTTTCATACAGCGACCATCACTGTCTCATCTAAATGTTGTGCAAATAATATGGAGCATAAGTAATACTATATAATAAACCTGGCTAAATAATAAACAATATTAATGATGCTCATACATTTGCTTTATGGTGGAGAAAATTAGACTGCAGTGAATTACTGCCATAGTATTTAATTATAAGAGGCCAGTCCTGAGGTCCTCACTGAGTGTTTGTCTTTATACCAGCAAAACATTTACCTATTTGCCTGAATAATGACTGTAGACTTTGGACCAGAGGTACCCACAGCACTGGGCGATAAGTGAGCTGACAGGTGCTTATCTCAATTTCACTTGCTTTAAGTTGCACTGACTTCAGTGGAGCTACTGTGGATTTATACCATGTAAAGGAGATCAGAGTCTGGTTCACAGCAAGTGCAATAGAGAACAGTAGGGTGGGTGTTCTTTTTTCTTAGCAAACTTTGCGGAATGGGGTTGCTCCTCTGTTTCCTTAATTTAAAAGACCCAAGCATTCCAATTGAAAAAGTTCCCCCTCAAATAATAAAATGCTTGGTATCTTAAAAAAGAAGCACTAAAGAATCATTGTTACTTTAGCTCTCTGTTCATGGAGCTATGCTGCATGCAATCCCCCCACTGCGGTCCAGGAGAGGTCACTGTGTAGAACGACTACTGGGTCAGGCCTGATTTTGTAGCAAAATTATTGCAAATATGTTTTAAGAATTTGCTTATCTATCTATCTATCTATCTATCTATCTATCTATCTATCTATCTATC